CCCCTTCTCCTCCTCCTCCTCCTCCTTCTTCTTCTTCTTTGGCCTTTTTGAGACAGGGACTCCCTGTAGCACCAGCTGATCTGGTACTCTCTATGTAGACCAGGCTCTGACCTGGAACTCTTAGAGATCCACTAAAATATAACCCTTTGAAAAGCTCATTATCCACTGGCATATTTTATATTATCTAGCAGTTTTGATCAGACACTTAAATAGCTACAAATTATACTATTCTATGCATATTATAAATGCTGACATATTAAAATCCATCAATCATATATATGCATTGGAATATTATTCTTGTGATTTAATAATCACTATTACCTATTTTTCAATGTACATGGCCTTCCTTAATCTTATAAACATATACTTTCATTTTCTTTTCAAACTCCTGTTGACATTGTATTTTTCCTCAAGGATTTTATCATAGTGTCATATGGAGTATCCATCTTCATAAAATGTATTTATGGTTTCCTTTTTTATTCTCTTTTCAGATTTTCAGTAACTTAGTACCTGAATGTATTTTGGAATTTTATTTTTAAATCATGAGTTGATAAACCTCTCTTAAAATAATATTTTCAATGCCAGCAGAGATATTTCAGTGGTTAAAAGCACTGGCTCTTCTCGCAGAGGATCCAGATTCAGTTCCCAACACTCACATGGTGGCTAACAACCACCTGTAATTCCAAATCCAGGGCATCTGATGCCCTCTTCTGGCATCCATAGGCATTTCACAACATGGGTGCACTGACATACATACAGGCAAAACACTCAAGCACATGAGTAAATAAATAAGTTAAAATATTCAAAATTAGATTAAATTACAATTTTCATAGCATTTCATATTTTTGAAGCATTTTAATATACTACAAGTTTTTATTTTATCAAAAGACAGAAATTGTAGATTATGAAATAAGCCTGGCCCCCATCTGCTACTTTTTATTTTGGTTTGTTCTTGATTTTCCAAGGCATTAAGGTTCATCATTAAATTATTAATTTGAGATCGCTCAGGTTTTTTGATGTAGGAAATGAACACTATAAATCTTACGATTGCCTTCATTGTTTCCCAAAGCTTTTGGTATGCTGTGTTTTCATTTTCATTCACTTCTAGGAACTTAAAAAATAATTTAGGTTGCATGTATATAAGCGCACCACATGTGTGCAATGCTGGAGGAGATAGAAGATGGCATTGTATCCCCTGAGATTGGAGTTATGGATGATTGTGAGATATCACCTAAGTGCTGGGACCTGAACCCAGCCCTCTGTAAGAGCAGCCAGTGCTCTTTACCACTGTGCCATGGATCCAGCCCTAATTCTAGGGATTTTTAAAATTCTCTTTTTGATTTCTTCAGTTCCCCAATTATCATTCAGTAGTGTGCTGCTTACTCTCCTAGAGTTTGCATATTTTTTGTGGTTTCTATTGTTTTGAAATTCAGCTTTATCCCATTGTGGTCAGAGAGAATACAGGAAGTTTTTTGAAATTTCATGTGTTTCTTGGGAGTTGCTTTGTGTCTTAATATATGGTCAATTTTGGAGAAAGTTCAATGGGCTGCTGAGAAGAATGTGTACTCTTTAGTATCTTGGTGAAATTCTCTGTAGATGTCTGTGGACCTATTTGATTTATGATGTCATTTAACTAGTATTTTATCTTTAATTTTTGTTCAAATTACCTAATTGGTGAGAATAAGGTATTGAAGTCACCCACTGACACAGTGTTGGAATTAATCTGTTGTTTTACATGTAGTACTTCTGTTTTTTACAGTTCCAGAGGGAGAGTCCAGAATGGTGGGGGAGGCCTGGCAACAGGTACCTGGGGCGAGAAGCTGAGAGCTCACATATTCAATGGCAGACAGGAAACAAAGAACCTGAAAGTGGGGCCAGGCCATGAACTCTCAAAGCCTGCCCACAGTGACATGCTTCCCCCAGCACGGCCTTGCATCCTAAAGGTTGTGTCACCTTCCCAAACAGCACCAACAACTGATCAAGCATTCAAATATTCAAGCCTATGGGGAAATCTCTCATTCAAACCACCATACCTCATCTCTTCTGACTATTTTGGCTTGAAATGTATTTTGTCACATATAAGTATAGCTATACCTGCTGGTTTCCTAGTTCAGTTGCCTGGAATACTTTTTCGATCTTTTTACTCAAAGGTGGTATCTATCATTGATGGTGAGACATATTTCTTAGAGGCAACAAAACAGGTGAATCCTGTTTTCCAAAAAAAATCTCCTAGTCTACATGTTTTTACTGAGAATTATGATCATTGATATTCAAAGTTATTGAAAATTGTCTCTTTTTCTTTCATTTTGTTGATTTTGTAGTGTTTTCTTAGACTTCTTTTGAGGAACTATTCTGATATTTTTATCCACTGTGACCCCTGGAGTGTGTTTATACTTCTCTTCAATCTAAAGTATTCCTTCCGGTGTCCTCTTAATCTAATTTAGTGGTATAAAGTATTTTAAACGGCTTCTACCATGATAAGTGTTCTGCTCTTTAATTTTAATATCTAGTTTTGCTGGGATAGCAGTTGCGTTCATTCAGAATGTGGAAAATATCTTTCCAGTTTCTTCCAGTGTTAAAAGTTTATGTCAGATACTCAGGTGCTATTCTGATGGACCTGCTTTAAGTGATTTGAACTTTTTCTCTTGAGGTTTTCAATACATTTTTTTAAGTCTTTTTTGAGATTTGAGACAGGGTCTTCCATTAACCCAAGCTGGTCTGGAACTCACTATGTAGACCAGGCTGGCCTTGAACTCACAGAGATCAGCCTGCCTCTGCCTCCCAGATGCTGGGATTAAAGCCCACCACACCCAGCTCAGTACTCTTTCTTTATTCTGAGTTTTTAGTGTGTTAACTTTAATATGTCATAAGGAGTTCCATTTCTGGTCCTGTCTATTTGGTGTCCTGTAGACCTGAAATGCCTGAGTGGGAATGTCTTTCTCTAGATTTGGGAAATTTTCTTCTATGACTTTATTGAAAATGCTGCTATGCCATCACTGTGGAATTCTTCTCCCTCTTCTACGTCCACAATTTGAAGCTTAGGTTTTTTGAAGATGTCTCAAAGCTCCCCCATGTTCCATTCATAGAGACATATAGATATATAGATATAAATTTATCATTGATCATTAATTGGTATGATCCAATTCTTCTATTTTGTCTTGCAGCCATGATACTCTGCTTAATACATGAGCCATTCTATTGATGAAGCTTTCCACTGAGGTTTTTATTTGGATTATTGAGATTTTCATTCACAGCATCGTTTCAATTTGGGTTTCATTTAGCAATTCTCTTTTTAGAAATCTAGTTTTGTTTATTTCTTATCTATTTATTTTTGATGCAAGGTCTTACAATGTAGCCCTGGCTGGCCTCAGACTCACAGAGATCCACCTGCATCTGCCTCTGCAGTGCTAAGATTAAAGGCTTGTGCCATCACACCTGGCTAAATTCCTTTTTCATATCTTGGATAGACTTCCTCATTTCATTCAGCTCTTTGCTCTGTTCTCTTGGGGTATATTCATGTCTTCTGTGAGTTTTCTGAACACAGTTATAATCACTCTTTTGAATTCTTTGTGTAGAACTTCTTCCAGGTTCATCCTCATTGGGCGCCATTCTGTGGGATTAATGATTTGACTGGGGGCAGGGAGTTGTCAGGGTTTTTCTTTTATTTTGTTTCTGCGCTTGGAGTTGCACATTTAAGTAATTTGTTGCATAATTCTTTCTTTTTCTTTTTTTCATTCAAATCACCATTCTCCTTTCAGTGGAAGTGTGTACAATGTTCAGGAGAGGACTATGTTTTAAGATTGTCAAGACACACCTTTGGGCAGGGCTGCTGGCTTGTCTCCAAGTGGTCAAGCCTCCTGCAAATGCCCCTAAGGTCTGTCACAGGTGATTCTGCAGAGATGCCACCAGGCCACCCCAGCATCTTCCCTGTAGCACTGTCTGTGGATGGGACTGGGTCTGGCAGTGGCTCATGTGGCCATGGAATTTCAGGGCCTTCCTCAGTCTGGACTATATGGAGGCAAAAAAAAAGGTCATTCCTTCTAAAGAATGAAGAATGCCAGCCCTGTGCACCACCACTTCCGGGGAGCAAACTGGCCTGCTGCTTATACCATTTAACTGTTGTGGATCATGTCTCAATGAACATGAATCCCTGCTCAGGACCCTGCATTCACATCCTTTAAATTTGCACACAGTAGCAGATGGCTGGATCGTTGATAATCCTCTTTACCATTGAGGAATTCATTCATTAGCTGACTGATGTTGGATAATTCATTCATTACATCTCTAGGGATGGGCCCTGTGTTCCACTGTACCTGGGCTATTTTGTATTCCCACTCACTGTATATCACCATATAATATGTTTTATGTGAATTTATTATAGTTTATATCTTGGGGGGTATGGAGAAACTTATAGACTAAACCCAGCAGCAGCACCCAGCTCGGCGCTGCGAGCCACCACTGTTCCAGATAGCTTCCCCACCACCCACAGTCTCCTTTAACTTTTTCCCAGGTATCCTGGGCCCACAGTCTCGTTTCGGGTGGGTAAATGCCCCCTCTGGAAAAGTGGGCGAGCCACCATCTTTTTTCTCCATGCCGGCTGCTGCCCGCTCTCCACACCCATCACTAGGTGTCCTGGCCGCTCCTGGCTTCCATCTGAAGATGGCTCCCAGAAACCCCTCCATGGTCCATTCTCTGTGGCAGACCCCGCCCCTTTGAGGAACCAGGTCTCTGGGACACACCTTTCTAGAGAGAAACTATATCAACTTTACTAAATTCTAAATTCGTTCCAAAATCTTTTTTAAAATTGTAAAACCAATGTAAAAACAAACCTAAACCACTGAAAATAAAATCAGTAAGACTTTGCAGGCTCTGTCCCCAGTCAGCACCAAAGTATCTGCTTGGCTAACGCCACTTTTTTAAGCCCCAGAAGGAGAACCATAAGAAATCAAGGGTCACTTTCCTGTACTGAAACCCCCTCCACCTCACCCTTAATTCACATACATACACCCAGGCTGGGTCTAGGCCAAAGGCAAGAAAAGCAAAGTTTGTGGCAAGGAATCACAGATACACCCTAACCTACTCAACATCCCTTGTTAATAAAGGAAGACAGAAGGGAAATTGGCTTGCCTGCTGCCAACTTCCTCGTCACAGGCTATCACAGACAGTCTCACAACCCTGACCAGTAACACTGAGCTTCTAAGTAAGGAAGGGCATCACCAGCCCCAGTGAAGACTGTAAAACGTTCAGAGGGGGAAAACTTCTCCCATTGCCTGCTCAGGTCTAACCAGACAAGAATCTACCCTCAGCTGAGCCTAGAAGGGATGGTGCTTTCAGTCCTTCTCTTCAGAACCTCAATGGCTGAGAACCTGTCAGAGAGAAATTAGTACCAGGAGCTCCTTTCTCCTGAAGCCTGTGAGGGGTGGGACAGCTACACAGACTCCTAGGTGCAGTATTTCCAAGACAGCAATGGCCAGGAGGATGAAGGTTTGCAGAGTGAACAACCACAGCTCTCCCTGATTGGAGCTCTCACTGGTCTGTGACTGGGAAGCTTTCCTCTCATCACCACTGGTGGTTCTTGCTCTGGTTCTGTTTCATCTGTTCCACCAGCTGCACCTCACTCAGCTTGTCCTTGACAGCAATTTTGGCACGCAGGCATGTTCACCCTCTTAGATGTCCAGGTGCCTTTCAGCATACCTGCAGTAAAGAGAAAGAATTTGGTCGAATTGGAGTGAGGACAGATCTGGTGCTCACCAGGATTATGGGAGTGAACATGAATCTTTCCTTGGTGACCTTGTCCCAGGATCTCCATGAACATGCCTAGCCCCGTATAGATGCTGGCTGATCCTTCTCAAGATGCTTGTTACACAGCTGTGCCAAGCCGTGGTTACTGGCTGGCTGGTCCTCATTGTGCCCCTCATCAAGCATCTGCCTCTGATAATTTCTGAAGACCATGATCTCCTCCAGAGTCTCAATAAAGCATTTCTCTCTCTCCCCAGTGTATAAACAGGGAGTGCTTGTGCCGGGCAAAAGTACTGCAGCAGTGACCCTGGGCCCTGCATCCCTCTAACACAGCCACAGTCCTGGTGGGGTCTGACACCCCACACTCCTTGCCATACAACCATCTTGCCCCATTTGCCTCTCTAAACCCTTAAATTACTTCTGTTTCTTCAATAAAATCCTTAGTTTTTTATGTATGAATCATTTCATGCATAAACAGGCAATTTCCATTCTTGCTCTTTGAATAGATTGGTTCTGTTTTTTTCTGTTGTTTAGGAAGAGGTCATCTGAGTTACTCTGTCCTCAGTGTCATCCTTAGGAAGAGCTGAATTATAGGCACCCAACAAAGAAATGGAAGCTAACAGGGATGTCTGGGCTAGACTTGGGCTCCAGGTACGTTTCTGTCAGGACACTGACTGGCTTGGGCCCTGAGTTGTGCTTCCTGTGGGGGCCTGTGCACCACAGCCTTCCTTTCCACCACCGGGACCTTACACTCATCTGCATGAGACATCTGGAAAGACAGGGCCCTCCCCCAGCTGTCCATAGTGACCATGCCACCAATAAGATGCCATCCAACCCACTCTCCATAGCAGATGACCAGGTCCAGGCCACACATCATGCAGGGCACACAGAGGGTGGAAATCCAGACCTATCCCTGAGGAAGAGACCTAAAGCTGGCAATAGTGCCCTTCAACCTGGAGGGCCGTGTGGACAGTTGATGGAGGGCTTGTGCTCCGGCGATGGGCCAGTGGACAGAACCAGCTGTGCCCACTCACTGCTTTCCCTTTCCTATCAAGGTCTCTTTCCCTCCCTGACACCATCTCTCAAGGAGTCA